GCGAACTTCATCAATAACTGTGGGTTCCAGGTCTACAAACATCGCCCTGGGCACATGCTTGCCAGCACCAGTCTCACCGAAGAAGGTGTTGAAGGAGTCATCTCTTCCCCCAATGGTCTTGTCACTTGGCATCTGGCCATTAGGCTGGATGCCATGCTCTAGACAGTAGAGCTCCCAGCAGGCATTGCCAATCTGGATACCAGCCTGGCCAATGTGGATGGAGATGCACTCACGCAGTCTGACTACGGGTTAGAAAGCAAGGACGACAGGAGTGGACAGTGGGTTCCGGTTACCGTCCCCGAAAAGCTAAGAGTCGAGGTAACACACTCTGAATGAAAATTTTAAAAAGACATTGAGACAATAAAAAAAAGGAAATGCCTTACTGTGTGAAGAGTAAGAGGTCAAAAGGAGGATTAATAGATAAGTGTTCTTGAGAAGAAAATATATAGCTAAAGATGAGAAAACTAATCAAATAAAGTGTTGGGCCCGTACACACACACACACACACACACAGAGAGAGAGATTGATTGATTTATAGTCTTGGAAACCTAATGGGCAGGCTAACTCTCACTAAGAGCCAGATTGACTCAACAGGAGTCTTCATAGTTTACTATACTACATGGTAACTTACTCAGAAGGCAGTGGTTTGAATCTACAAGCCGCTCCACAAAAGAAAGGTGGGCAGTCTCCTCCTGTAAAGATTTGCATCTTTGAACTCCTGATGCAGGGCCACCAGGAGTGGGGACTGACTCAATGGCTGGTGGCATGGTGGCTAAGTGCTGGGCTGCTGACCAATAGTTTGGCAGTTGAGCTGACCAAGTGTATAGGAGAAGAGTCCTGGTGATTTGCTCCTGTAAGAATGTCAGCCTTGGCCCTTTCTATGAAGATGGTGCCGAAAGCGAAGAAGGAAGCCCCTGTCCCTCTCAAAACTGAAGTCAAAGCAAAGGCATTAAAGGCCAAGAAGGCAGTCCTGAAGGGCATTCACAGCCAAAAAAAAAAAAATCTATATGTCACCCATCTTCTGGCGGCTTATGACGCTGAGACGCCGGAAGAGCGCCCCCAGGAGAAACAAGCTTGACCGCTATGTCATCATCAAATTTCCCCTGACCACTGAGTCAGCCATGAAGAAGACAGAAGATAACAACACACTTGTGTTCATTGTGGATGTCAAGGCCAACAAGCACCAAATTAAACAAGCTGTAAAGAAGCTCTATGACATGATGTGGCTAAAGTCAACACTTTGAGAAGATGGAGAGAAGATGGCCTATGTTCGACTTGCTCCTGACTATGATGCTTTGGATGTTGCCAATAAAATTGGGATCATCTAAACTGAGTCCAGCTGGCTAATTTTAAATACAAATTTTTCTCCCCGCCCCCTCCCCCCCCAAAAAAGAGAATTTCAGCCTTGGAAACTTTATGGGGAAGTTCTACTCTTGACTCACTATGGGTCACTATGAGCCAAAATGGACTCAATAGCTGTGGTTTGGGTGTTTCTTTGTTTTAAAGTGGTACTACTTTCAAACAAGGCAGTAGTACCACTTAAAAAAAATGAAGACGAATATCTATGCTTTATTGACTATGCAAAGGCATTTGACTGTGTAGATCATAACAAATTATGGCTAACATTGAGAAGAATGGGAATCTCAGAATACTTACTTGTGCTCATGTGAAACCGATACCTAGACCAAGAGGTTGTTATGAGACCATAGTAAGAGAACACTATATGGTTAAAAAGGTGTGCACCAGGGTTGTATCCTCTTTCCATACCTATTCATCTGTATTGTGAGCAAACTATTTGAGAAGCTGAGCTCTATGAAGAAGAATGATCAAGATTGGAAGAAGATTCATTAATAACCTTCATTAGGTAGATGACATCATTTTTTAAATTGATACTTTAACGACAGTTTATAGAGAACTTGGATTTTCATTCATTCATTATTGTACATTTCCCTCCCTTCCCATCTCTACCCACCCCTCTGTTAATTTTTTTCTTTGAAAAAAAATCCTTTCATTGTTATACAATCCCTCTCCCCAGTCCACTTTACATGCAGCTCTTAGTCTGGACTCTTCTCATACAAATAATACCTAATCATATATCCCTTTTCAACAGTTCAGCTTGCTGGAAGTGAGGAAGACTTGAAATACTCGCTGCAGAAAATAAAAGACTGCAGTCTTCAGTCTGGATTGCATCTCAACATCAATAAACAAAAATTCTCACCACTGGATCAATAGATAACTTCATTGGAGATGGAGAAAAGATAAAACCATCAATGACTTTATCTTACTTGGACCCACAATTAATACACCTGGTACTAGCTATCAGGAGATCAGGAGACGTATTACACTGAGAAAGCCTGCAGTCAGGAATCTATAGAAATTATTGGGGAACAATGATGTTTGTTTGAGGACTAAAGTGTGCCTGACTCAGGCCATGGTATTTTCAATCACTTGCTATACTGCTGAGAGCTGGACAATGACTAAAGATGACAGAAGAAGAATTGATTCTTTGAACCATTTGATGTTGGAGAAGAGAGTATTTGTCCAAAAGGACAAATATGCATATTTGGCAATACCATCTCAGATAAGAGTCTTATAACAAAAGGTTACAGAATACTCCTGGCCCTCCACAAGAAAAAGACTGATAACCCCAATTGCAAAAGGGGCAAAAGACATGAAAAGAATTTTCACAGAGGAAGATATTTGAATGGCAAACAGACACATAAAGAAATGCTCCAAATCACTGGCAGTAAGAGGGATGCAAATAAAAATCACAGTGAGGTACCATCTCACTCCAGTAAGAGTGGCAAAGTTTAACAGGGCAGTAAATAATAGATGTTGGAGAGGATTTGGCGAAAAAAGAACTCTTATACATTGTTGGTGGGATTGTAAAATGGTGCAACCATTCTGGAAGGCAGTTTGGCGCTTCCTCAAAAAGCTGAACATAGAAATTCCACATGACCCAGCTTTTCCACTATTTGGAATATACCCTGAAAATATGAGAACTGAGACACAAACTGTGATTTGTACACCAATGTTCATAGCAGCATTATTCACTATTGCAAGAACATGGAAACAGCTTAAGTGTCCAACTACAAACAAATGGATTGAGAAATTATGGTACATTCACACAATGGAATACTATGCAGCATGCAGGAGCAATAACTTTGTCAATTATTACCTAACTTGGGAGGGACTAGAGAGCATTGTGCTGAGTAAACTAACTCAGTCCCACAGAATCAATATTGTAGAAGATTGTTACTGTAGAATGAGTATAAGGATCCAAGAGGGGTGGGAGAGGCTGGAAGCAGAGGGACGTGGATGTACAGGGGGGAGAGGGGATTAGTCATTGGATTGTACAATTTGTTGGGTGAGGAGGGTGAGGGAAATTGAATTTGTTTGAATTTGTATTAGAATTTTGTAAATAAACTGGTAAAAAAAATACATTTAAAAAAATTAAAAAAAAAGAACAAATATGCAGGTGCATATAAGAAGGTGCATCCAGAGTGCTCCTTGGAGGCAAGGATGGTGAAGATTCGTGTCACATACGTTGGGCATATTGCTAGGAGAGGCTGTTCTTTGGAGAGGGACGTTAGGCTTGGAAAGGTGGAGGGGCGGTGAAAGAGAGGAAGACCCTCAACCACATGAATTGACACAGAGACTGAAGCAATGGGATCAAATGTGTCAAGAGCTTGTGAGGATGGCACAGGATAGGACAGGGTTCAGATCGGTTTTTCACAGGTTAGCCCTGAGTCGTACTCAACTCGACAGCCCCTAACCACAATAATTGCCTTGGATAAAGACATCATGTTTGGAAAAATAAAAGGTCAATGAAAGAGGAGACCCTTGATAAGATAGATTGACACAGAGACTGTATCAATGGGCGCAGATATATTTGAGGTGTTTGATGTTGGCACAAACCAGGGCAAAATTTAGTTCTATTATTCATAGGGTCACTATGAGTCATGGTCAGTTTGATGGCACTTAACCTCAACAACAATTCATTGTGAGGATTAAGTGGGCAGTGTAGATAAAGCCTTAAAAATGCTGTTAGGTAGCGTGCAGTCAACGCCAACTTCTACACACAATAGAATGAAACCCTGCCCTAGTCTGCATCCTCCCCCACCACGCTGCTGGCCTGAGGCCATTGTAGCAGCCACTGAGTCAGTCCATCCCACTGCTGGTCCTTTGTCCTTGACCTTCTACTTTAACAAGCATGACGTACTGCTCTAGGGACTTGCTCCTTCTTATAACATGCTTTCCAAATGCTAGCAATTATTTTCGCAAAAGCTCAATTTATCATCAATATGCAGTACAAAATACTCTCCTTGGTGGTATTTGTTTGAACAGTGGGTTTCCCTAGAGCATGCAAATTGTTATTTGATCTACAAAACATTCATTTGCTTCATTGATCCGGAATGTACCTCCAGTGTCATTGCACAATGGCTCCAACTGTGGTAGCTCCCCACTGCATCCCAGCCACCACCTCTCTTCCACACCTTCCTCTTTTTTAGCTATTATTCCCCTTAACCTATGACCTTGCTTTGCCAGAACAAAGCCAAACTCAATGCTGGTTTACTTTGATAAAGAGCATCTTTATTATTCAGTGCATTCCATGCGTGTTTGTCATTCTGGAGGCTTTGGCACAATGTCTGCCCAGAACAAGGGCTACAATTGTCACTATGTTCTAACCAATCACAGTACAGGTGAAAGGGGCGGGAAGGATGGTGGACAAGGGTATCATGAGTGGATTCCCTCGGAGCAAACAATTCATACACACAGTTCCATAGTAAGAATAAATTACAAACTTAAATAGTATAAATAAATTAAAAGTTAAGTATAGTTCCAGCATGTGGTGGTCTGGCAATCAGCCTTAGGAGAGGTAGCTGTGAAAATAAAAACAAAGACAAAAAAATAAGGAGAGGTAGCTGTGGCAGGGTATTTCTGACTCTGCTCCCAGTTGGTCTACGGAGGTGCCTTTGCTCCTTGCTTCCAAGCCAGTTCTAAGCACTGCGTCTCAGGTTGGTGATATATTCCTGAACCCAGGCATCCCCGGGGTTGGCGCAGATCTCTCGGGATTTTTTGGTTATGAAGCTGTGGAAAGAAGCAGAGGAATAAACACTGAGGACTCCAGCAGGGGAATCTGGTGTCCACTGTGGCCCTTTCATCTTCACCTGTCCTGGGAAGCTCAGGGCTTGCTCCCTGTTTCAGCAAACGTCTGCCTTTCAGTCTAGAAGTTTCTCTCACTGACTCACAGGAGTCTCCTGCTGCTGCTCCCTCCTTCTTCTCCTCTCTTCACTCTGGGCCGAGGTGGCATCCCTGATTCTGGTGCCACCGGCCGGATCAGGGCCCACCGCAGAGATCAGGCCAGGGCCCTCCTGAGAGACCAGATCAGGGCCCACTTACTAGACTTCCCGAAGGCGGGGCTTTCTCAAAAGGCTCCTCTGGCCTCTGTGTACCTTTGACAGTAGTTTCCACCTGAGACACTCCCTTGTACCCCCAGAAGTGAACAGGAAGATTGGCACTTACATGACACCAGGCTTGGAGCACTGACTGGTGGTCTCATAATAGTTGACTACATAAGTTTGCGGAATCTGCCTGGCATAGGAGAAGCAGCAGGCACTTGGAGTATTGACACCAACTGTGGAGGAAGAGACAGTCTTGAGTCACAGTTCAGGAAAAAAGGGCAAGATAGCTTTTCCTGCCTCCTGACAGGTTCAGCAAGATGAGGGACAGCCCCATTCAGGTTAGGGGTTGGGGAATCAGGTTAGTAGAAGGCATTTGGGCCTTTTTGTCTTGAAATGTTCTGCCACTTTCTTTGCTTCTGCCTGTATTCCTCTTTCTCCTAAAATCTTCACTTTGACTCTTTGTCTTTTATCTTTTTTATTTGGGTTCTTTATGTGATCCAGACATTCAAGTAGAATACTCATCTCCTTTCAGGGAATTTTATCAGATTCAAGAGGTACACCCCACCCCACCACAAGCAGGGAGAAACCATGGGCATCTCTCATAAGACACTCAAGGGACAGAGTTCTTGGGGAGACCTAGGGTGGGGGATAGCACCAGGAAGTAACAAAACCTGGACTCTGCACCTGTGGAATTCATTAGTTTAACCTGCCACTTTGCTGTCTATAAAACAGGACTGTAATTCCCCTACCTCACTCCGAACCTCAGATCCAGAGACGAAGGTAGGGAAGACCCATTCAGAATAATGAAAACGAAAGCATTGAACAGAGAAGCCATGATGTTCTGCAAGCCTTTTAGAAGTTCTCTGTTTTCTCTTGGGGCTCTCAGACCACAAGTAAAGATTGATGTGGTCCGACTGTGGCCAGGGAGTAAGGCCAACCACCAGAACACACAGACTTACTTGGTGTGGTGAAGACCTGGGCGCAGAGGGCCGAGATGCAGAGGAGGATGGCCAGGGCAGTCACTGGATTCTTCATGGTGCTGAGGAGGGTGATCTGAACGCCAGCAGAGCCCAGCTGGGACGAGCTGCTCACTTCCACCAGTGGCTTCTGGAGTCTGAAGTCATCTCTTCTCTTTATAGCAGCCGTGGCTCATGGAGAGATGGAAATTGGGGGTGAGGGGGGAAATTTTTAAGCATAGTGGTGTCACTCTGAGTGTTGCACAATGCAGGGTCCCCTTCAACCACAGGACTCAGGATATCCCAGAATAGAATCTGTGAGCTAAAGGTCTCAGCCGCCACGACACTTGTTCAAGTTTCTTATGGGGAAATGAAGAGGGATGTATCAGCCAGGGTTATTCTTAGCAGGGTCTTTCTCATAAGCACTGCTTTATACATGAACTCTCCAGTCCCGTTCCAACTGACAGATCTGAAACTTCTGTCCTTCCTTAATCGCTTTAACCACACTGGGGTTTGGGGGGAAGACATAAGAATACTGAACAGCCGGCTCATGCTTCCTCGAGGTGGAAGGTCTGGAATCCCCGGGGAGGGAAATAGGAAGCATGGAATCACTGCTTAGTCATTTGCTCATTCATCAAACAGAGTGACCAGGGGCACTGGGCTAGGGATTCACTGGAGATCATAAAGATATACTAGACGTGGGTGTTCATATTTATCAGGAGCTTAAAAATATTCATACCTAAAAACCTAGAAGAAATGTTTCTAGGAAAAAATTTGAAAGAAATAGACCCATATATGGAAACATCTTCAAACACAAATGATATCCTACGCAACTTCCTTTATAGCCCTAAAATAAAGAGACCTACATTTCCCTCTATGAAGGAATGATAAAATCAGTTACTCCATGCTCTCTAGTTTGTTTATAAGCCCTTAAAATGAACAAAATGGCATATATATATACCCACAAGATAAATTATATATGTAAATAAAATATATCGGAAAGAAATAAAGAAAATTATACAAATTATATAAGAAGGAGAGTTCTGCAAATATATTTATGTACATATCCATAGACAGATTCCAGTTGCCATTGAACTAACTCCAACTCATGACAGCCCCATGGATGCCAGAGTGGAAGTGGGCTTCACAGAGTTTTCATTGACTGATTATTTGACAGTAGATTGTCAGGTCTTTCTTCTGAGCCACCTCTGGGTAGACGCAAACATTCAATCTTTTGACTGTTAAGGAGACAAACACACACAGACTAAGCAGAATTCCTTTTTTTAAAAACCCTTGTTGTTGTTATGTGCTGTTGAGTTGCCTGCGACTCACAGTGACCCTATGAACAACTCTCTATGAACTCTGCTCTATCTTCAGCAAAAGTAATTTTCTCTAAAACTCCTACTCCCTTTATCCCAGTCACCGGGTCAATCCATCTCACCCAGGATTTTCCTCTCTTATCCCGCCTCTCCACCCTCCCAAGCATGATGTCACTCTCCAAGGACGGGTCCCTCCTTGCAACATGCCCAAAGTACGTCTGATGGAGCTTCAGAATCCTTGCCTCCGAGGAGCAGCCTGGTTTCATCCTCTTCAGGATGGACCTGTTTGTTCTCTTAGCAGTCCATGATATATTCAATAGCAAAGCATTGCAAATAAGAAGCCTAACACATACATTGTAGTTACGCTGTGGGCGATTTGGTTCTTTGTTTTTCTCTTTTTTATAAAATACTTGGCAAATATATATAATTGAGCCAAAATTTTTTTCTCTCACTTTATTTAGTGACAGTATTTTCTTCCTGGTTAGAACACATATTTATGAATAAATTTACTTCAAAACATTAATAGCATCAACACTTGAAAAATAGATTGTTTAATATGACAGAAATTCCTGATAAATATGCTAAAGTTAAGAAGCCCCAGTGGCACAATCCATACGGAGCTTCACTATTAACTCAAAGGCCACAGCTCTCAGGCAGTTCATATCCACCAGCAGCTCCACAGGAGAAAGATGGAAAATCTCCTTGCATGCAACCAACCCCAGGAAACCCCCTGGAGGTTCCGCTATGAATTTATTCAGACTTGATGGCAATGAGAGTTTTATATTAAAGTCTTTGCTTAAAAGAAGTCTTGGTCTCCCATCTCACTAAACAATTTTAAAGATCATGTATATTCTTACATCAATAGCATCAAACGTGAAGCAATTTTACTATTCTTTCCATTCCTAAATTTAATTCAGGGCTGTGAGTCTACTTCCTCAATCAAATCGATGTGATTTCCCACTCGCCCATTTCCATTCCTTATTATTTTCTTTTTACATAATTAATATGCAAAAATAACCATATATATAATTTCTAATGATTTCCATTTGGAATTGGTTGGGTTGTTTGTTGTTTTGTTTTTGTTTTTTTTAAATTAATTTTAACAAACATTTACAGAGACTTTGGCTGGAATGGTTTTTAGTTTCTTGTCTTCTGCCCAGCCTCGTGGAGACAGGTGGCATTTAGTTAATTTCTGTAGTGTCAGCTTCTGCTCACAGAGACCTTCCACAGCAGAGGGCTCAACCCTGCACAGTCTTGCATCTTTACCACCACAAGAGTGCTTTAATCCATTACTTTCGCTATCATGTCAAACCATCTCAGGGAAAACAAGAGAATCCTCTAGTTCACCAACTATGACACCCTTTTCTACAGGCTTGTCTGTCCTGATGATGTGTCCTAGTTTTACAAGCTGAAGTCTCACCATCCTTGCTTCTAAAGAGGATTCTGTTCCTATTTCTTCAAAGATGGATTTATTAATTCTTTTGACAGTCCACAGGGTATTTGATATTTACCATCACCCCAGCAAATTAACTTATTCTTCTGGTTTTTTCCTCCTCCCGCCCCCCGCCCCAGCTTTTGTGTGCATATTAAGGTACAGAAAAAAGATGTGGCTTCAGCCATGCTCATCTTAGACATCAGAATGACACCTTTGCTTTTTAAAAACATCTAAGAGGGCTTTCTCCCTCGAACCCAGTTCACTATATTATTTGGTCTTTTTGACTATTGCTTCTAGAGATGTTGATTGTTGATCTAAATAAAATCAAATCATCTACAGCTTCAGTTTCTCTTTGTTACTTACTACTTCTTGTTCTCTTGTGAATGAGTAACCACAGGTGCTAAGATTTCTAGGACAGGAATAAATTCATCCCAGAACATCGAGAAGAAGGAGAAATGATCTCCCAATGATGAACCATAGAGGACTTCATTGACGTGATAGGACTTTTGTTGGGCCTTGAAAGATACATAGGACTGGACTGTGTATAGATGGGATAAGGGGTGGCAGTTTAGCTGACACAAAACCACAGAGGTGTGAAATTGCAACTCAGAGGGCAGGGTGGGTAGTTTAGCAGAGCTACAGAGTGGAAAATGTAGATGAAGAAGCAAAATGGGGCCAAACCAGAGTCAGTCATAAATTCTTCCTACAGAGGTTAGGATGGCTATGTTAGCTACTGGATAACAACGGAGGAAATTAGTCAGAAACAAAGCAAGACTACACCTTAATTTTTGTGCTTCCTAGGTCTAAGTGCATGAACTTGCCCTTGCATCCTCTAATTACTAAGGCTGGTTGTGAGGGAGGCAAAGAGAAAAACCGTGTCAATGGCAAGTTTCATTGAGTATTTGACATCCAGGAATCCTCCCTCCTTGCTGTCAATTGCAAATAAAAAGGTCTTGATCATTGGTTTCATTGGAAATTTAACATCCTAGACAACGCCTCCTTCTCCCCTCCCTGCTCCCTCTGTCTCCAGCCCTGAGTGACATGCCACGCTGACATTCCCTGGCTTGCGGAACCACTTTCAGACTCGTGATCCATTTTCTGAAAGCTGACTTAGAGGAGTTGGGTTGTGAGAAATGGGAAATGGAAACTGCTGAATCAACCATTTTTGAAAACAATGAACCTTACTGTCTAGCACTAGGATTACAGCATTTGCCACCTTGAATTGCATTTATTTATATATGTAAATTTTCTCCTCAGAAGCTTAGATCATGTCCTGTTGATTTCAAAGCCCTGAAATCCTAGCATATGGTGACTGTGCCTTCATGAATTTCCTGATCGAGTACTGTTCATGACAATTTGGTTCTTTTTAATCCAAGTTATTTACTGAGGACATAATTCTATCTTTGTTGTTGTGTCCATTGAGATGATGTCTCATCTCGAAGTTAGTCTATGTGACTGAGTAGAACAGCCCCATGGGGATTTCTAGGTTGCTGTCTTTATGGGAACAGATTGTCTTTTGTCCTGTGAAGTCACTGGTGGGTTCAAATCATAGATCTTCCAGTAGCGCCCAAGCACTTAACCATTGTGTCACCAGGTTTTCCTATGAGCCTATCTTACGGTTTATATTTTAAGGCTTTTTATAGCAATCTCCAAGACAAGAAATAGCCCTTTGTCATATGCGTTATTACTTGGGTTGGAAGATAACATAATTGCTTGTATATATGTATTTAGTATGCATGTACTGAGTGACTAATGTAAGGAAGCCTTGTTGTTGTTTTTGCTGTATACTGAGCCACAAAAAACCCATAGCTGGCCCTTCAGTGGACTTTCAGAGGCACTAAATCACATGGGAAGAGACTGCCCATCCTTTTCCTGAGGAGCTACTGGTAGATTTGAACAGCACATCTTTGGGATTGCAGCACAGCTTCTTGCCACAAGGCCTTAGCACAGTTGAACTGGAAGGGACATGAGAGATTTCCTCCCTGGTAACTTGATGTTCTCAGGTGAAATGACTTGTCCCAAGGTGCACTGATGCAATTTAAATCCTAAGAAATATCAGTTGGTCAATTTTGTACTGACCAGGGGATTATGCCACGTCTATGTATTACCAACAGTCATCATAATTTTGACAAATTATTGGTTTTTAGTGCCATTGAGTTAGTTCCAAGTCATAGTATAGCAGAATGACATGTCATGGTCTTGCACCATCCTCACAGCTGCTGCTATGTGTGTGTCAATCCATCTCACTGAAGATTTTCCTCTCTCATTGACTCTCTACTAAGCATGATGCTCTTTTCCAGAGAGTGGCCCCTACAGATAACATGT